GCCTCAGCAACGTGTCTCTCTCTAGTCAGCAAGATACATGATGTGTGTGAATGGCTCCAGGTCAGTCTGGCCTTTCACACCAGGGGACAAGGTGAAGGGAGAGCAGAAGGTGGACCATAATCGAAAATCACGCTCCCACGATTGAGCACAAGGGACAACAGATGACCTGCTCAACCAGCCCATGCTTGCGAACCTGGAAACCCCACATCAAACATCATAAGTGGTTCTGCTACTGGACAGCACTTACTAAACAACCCTTCTTGCGCTAGGAATTACACCAAAAACTATTTAACATCATCACTCAGGCTCACTGTGTGATTTCATTTGTCTGTACTGGAAGCTACAAAGGACGTCATTGCTCGGACCTTCTGAGTGTAGGAGTTGGAACATCATGTTGCAGTTGTACAGGACGTTGGTGAGGCCCCTTCTGGAGTACTGTGTCCAGTTCTGGTTGCCCTGTTATAGAAAGGATTTTATTAAACTGGACAGAATTCAGAAAAGATTTACCAGGATGTTGCCGGGAATGGAGTGTTTGAGTTATAAAAATAGACAGGAAAGGTTGGAACTTTTTCCACTGGAACATAGGAAGCTGTGGAGTGAACTTATAGAGGTTTACAAAATCAGGAGGGGCTTGGATGAAGTGATTGACAAGGGTCTTTTCCCTAGGGTGGGGCAGTTCAAAACTAGGGGGCATATTTTTAAGATGAGAGGAGAAAGATTTAACAAGAACAAGAGGGGCAACTTTTTTATACAGAGTGATTCATATGTGGAATGAACTGCCGGGGAAGTGGTGGATACAGATTACAATATTTAAAAGACATTTGGATAAGTACGTGAATAAGAAATGATTGGAGTGATATGGGTCAAGAGCAGGCAGGTGGGAGTAGTTTAGTTTGGGAACATGGTCAGTGTGGACTGGAGGAACACAGCAGGTCAGGCAGCATCAGAGAAGCAGGAGAGTCGACGTTTCGCACCTAGACCCTTCATCAGGGTCCTGACCCGAAATGTCAACTTTCCTGTTTCTCTGATGCTGCCTGACCTGCTGTGTTCCTCCAGCTCCACACTGTGTTATCTCAGACTGCAGCATAGGCAGTTCTTGCTATCTCCTGGTTGGACCGAAGGGACTGTTTCTGTGACCCTGTTTTTTAAAAGCCAGTAAAGAGGATAGTCCATTCTGTGCACCGTTTTCAATGAGGTAAAAGGAAAGGAGGCTGTAATCCTCACTATGTTCCCCTTGGCAGTACCCTGACCAATCAGAGTCTACTTGTTTGGTCCGTGTTTAATCAGCTAAGATTAACAGTTCCTGCTGCATCTCCAGGCCAACTATGATCCAACCAACCCTCTTCCCGTACGGTGTAAATTGTTTCCTTTCTACGTTTGGTTTCTCGCATCCCAGTCCGAATGAGAGCACGATGAAATTCTTTTGGTGAAGTTCAAATTTAAGAAAATCTATGGACACATTTGTCAGGATGCATTGCTTGACCAAACCTTCATCGCTTGTGTGCAATCTGCCTTTAAATGGCACCTACCTTGATGCCAAGCTTCAATACCAGGATAGGGGGGTCCAAAACTAGAGGCATAGGTTTAAGGTGAGAGGGGAAAGATTTAAAAGGGACCTAAGGGGTAACTTTTTCACACAGAGGGTGGTGGTATGTGAATGGAAGGAGCTGCCAGAGGAAGTGGTAGAGGCTGGAACAATTATAACATTTGAAAGACATTTGGATAGATACACTGATAGGAAAAGTTAAGAGGAATATGGGCCAGGACTAGTTCAGTTTCTGAAACCTGGTCAGCATGAACACGTTGGGCGAAAGGGCCTGTTTCCATGCTACAGCTCCCTCCATTAACCCACCCAGGTCTCTCAGCTAATTTAAATTGCTGCCTGAAACCTACGCGTTTGACCCTGGTTTTGGGGTCAACTGCCCTCATAAATCGCCAGGTGTCAACATGCAAATCCTTGTCTGATGACACCATGCTACGTGGAGGTGCCATACAAATTCAGATTGCTCTACATTAAAAGTTGAAAAGCTTCCTCCGTTTGCAAAATTCCTGAATATGCCAAATGAATCAAAATTGACGACTCAGCAATTCCTTGGGCCACGACCTCCTTCGCTGATTTGCACCCATTGTGAGTCGCAGTACACTTTAACATTTACACATTGTGGCTGTAACATGGGTAAGAATTGCGCCTGAGGAAGGATATATACCCTGCATGGAAAGTGCTCCGAGACATCCCAAAGTTACGCTGAGGTATGATATAAATGGCATGTGCTTGACCAGGTCAAACTTATGATAACCTGCAGGAAGGATTTCCAAATACAGGATTCTTAATGTCACAGGAACATTGGAGCAAGGAGTAGGCCATTCTTCCCATCGAACCTGTTCTGTCATTTAATACAATCATGGCTGATTGAACACCATTAGCTACACTATTCCCATCACCTTTATGCCATTGATCATCAAAAATATATATCAACCTGTATGCAATAGCTGCACAGAGGTCAGTATCCCATCACCAAGTCACGCTTTATTTACATGTCCACAGTACATGGGCTGTTACCCAGCCAGTCTCTGGAGTGAGGAGACTCTCTGAATCTCCTGGTTATATCTGTCAGCCAGGGCTCCCTGGTTGGCCCAGGTTAACAGCCCCAATCAGAAATCTCATAGTCAACAAGATCCAACAGGCCCTGTTTCCAATCACTACACTCTACTTTAAATATATTCAGCACTACACTTTAGTACAGTTCTGGGGTGACTCAGACATACATCACTGTCCCACCGGTTATAGTGACAGTTAATAACCAACATGCCTTTTAGCATGTCGTGGCACAGGGGAATGGTGGACTGGGTTCCAGGAGAATTCTCTGCTCAACAGGCACGGTGGTTAGCACTGCTGCCTCACAGAGCCAGGGACCCAGGTTCAATTTCACCCTCGGGTGACTGTCTGTGTGGGGTTTGCACGTTCTCCCTGTCTCTCCTCCGGGTGCTCCGGTTTCCTACCTCTGTCCAAAGATGTGCAGATTAGGGTGGATTTGCCAAGCTAAATTGCCCCATAGTGTCCAGAGATGTGCAGGCTAGGTGGGTTAGCCATGGGAAATGCAAGGTTACAGCGATAGGGTGAGATGCACTTCAGATGGGTTGGTATGAACTTGAAGGGCCGAATGGCCTGTTTCCGCAGTGTAGGGATTCTATGATAACCAACAGTACTGTCATCTGAAGTATAGTAACAGTGAGACTGCAGCATACATAACCTCAGTATTGCACCATGGCGTTCCGAAGAAAGTTCCTGACACTGAGTAAATCAGACCACAGAGGACCTAAACAAAAATGATCTCATGGGCCAGTACGTTAGCTAGATCATGTTGTTTGTAGCCTCCTGCTACCCAGTTTTCAGGTACTGAAACTGAGATCATGTTCGCCTGTCTAGCTCAGTATGACAATGGGTCCTCTGCGCTTTCTGTTTCCCATTTGATTTTTATAAACCCACCCTCAGTCCAGTTTCACGTGGATCCATTTTCCTGGGTGCGAGCTCCAATTTTCTCGCTGTTTTCCTCTTCATGTGATCCTATCCCATCCTCTTTAAAAAGAAATCTGGTTTTAGATGGAAAATAGCAACCAAACCTATGTGCCTGTATGGTAACCATTACAAATGAGATCTTCCCACATCTGAAGAGAACGGAAACTGGGTTAAGCTGAAAAGTTTGGATTCAAAGACCATTTTTGCTTCAATTTAACTCTTCTTTTTTAAACACACCATATTCTTTTGTATTACAGTGTGTCACTGGCAAGGCTGGTAGTTATTGTCTATCCTTAATTACCCCATGGGCTCAACTGCTCTTTTCAGAGGGCAGCTAAAGATTCAACCAGTGGGTCTGGAGTCACATGTAGGCCAGACCAGGTAAGGATGGCAGCTTCCTTCCCTAAAGGGCATTAGTCAACCAGATGGGTGTTTTAAGAAAATTGTTTCATTTCCACATTTATTAATTTGAATTTAAATTAGGACGACACTAAAATTGGTGGCATAGTAGACAGTGAATAAAATTCTCTAAGATTACAAAGATCAAATGGGTCAATGGGCTGAACATTGGCAGATGGAGTTCAATCTGGATAAATGCAAGGTATTGCATTTTGGAACAACAAACAGGGGCAGGGCTTATACAATGAATGGCACAGCCTTGGGTGGTTTGTAGAACATAGGGACCTAGGGTTCAACTACATAATTCTTTGAAGCTTGCGCCACGTGTAGACAGGGTGGTTAAAAAGGCATTTAACACACTTGTCTTCATTGTTTAGTCCTTTTGAGTATCGAAGTTGGGACATCATGATGAGGTTGTACAGGATGTTGGTGAGGCCTCTTCTGCAGCACTGTGTGCAGGTCTGGTCGCCCAGTTATAGAAAGGATATCATTAAGCTGGATGGGGTTCAGAAAAGATTTACCAGGATGTTGCCGGGAATGGAGGGTCTGAGTTATAAAGAAAGGCTGGATAGGCTGGGACTTTTTTCACTAGAGCGTAGGAGGTTGAGAGGTGACCTCGTAGAGGTTTATAAAATCATGAGGGGTATACATAGGGTTAATTGTAGTTGTCTTTTCCCCAGGATGGGGAATTTCAAGACTTAGGGGGGCATAATTTTAAGGTGAGAGGAGAGAGACTTAAACAAAGGCACGAGAGGTAATTTTTTTTTACATAGACAGTGGTTCATGTGTGGAATGAACTTCCTGAGGAAGTGGTGGATGTGGGTACAGTTACAATGTTTAAAAGATATTTCGATAAGTACATGGCTAGGAAAGCCTGGGAGGGATGTGGGCCAGGAGCAGGCAGGCCGGACTAGTTTAGTTTGAGATTATGTTTGGCTTGGACTGGTTGGACCGAAGGGTCTGTTTCTGTGCTGGATGCCTTGGAAATCCAGAGATAGTACCACCATGCCACCATCTGTGTGCGATTGTTTTTTGTAGCGTATTTGTAGCAATGCATAAACATAGGCACCATGTCAACACAATGTGAAATAAAGTATTTTTTTAATCAATGAATCAAAGTGTGTCGAGGGGACAAAGTATGTTGGAGATCTCACTTTGCAAGCTTTGCTGAACTTCTTTCCAATATCCGGAGATACTTCCCAGGCTGGTAAACATCCTAATTGTTTGCCTTGCCCTTCTTCTGTGGTGCTTTGACAATGTTCAGTTTTTTGGGCATGTTGGAGCTAGCTTTCATAGTGACATCGTGCTCAATCTTGTTCCTTATCGCAACTTCCAGGTTCTGCGGAACAGGTTTAAAAGGAAGCAGTCAAACGCCTTAATGTTTCTGCACTGCCTGAGACTTAAACATCTCCTTCCGCAACCTCTCTCTGACTGTTGTGCCAAGGGGCACGGAGACTAGACTCAAGCAGGGGTTAGCAACTCAAATGTAGCCAGGGCAGCACGCCAGCTGTCAACCTATAACTCTTGAGCAATGGCAGGACCTCTGAGAGAAGCTGGTCTGGATGTGGGAGAGAAACAGTGCAGGTAAACTTGGCCACATGTTGCCCAAAACAGGCTGCTCGGTGGATTTCACAAGGATGGGGAAACTGAAAGATCATGACAGCATTTCCCTCCACCCCGCACACAAGAAATTCAGTGAATGCTAACAAACGCATCTGGAGCACATGTGCTAAACATTCCTGACCATCAGTTGAACATGGAGGTGGCTGCAAATGTTTCAGACCATAGAAAATAGGAACAGCAGTAGGCCCTTGAGTCTGCTCTGCCATTCTAGATCTGGTTTGATCATCAATCTCAAAGCCATTCTCCTAGCCTCAATGCGTTTAATTTCTGGAAATCTATCGATTTTACTCAATGACTAGAAAGGCTGGGACTTTTCTTCACTGGAGTGTAGGAGGTTGACAGGCAACTTTAATCAAGGCTTATAAAATCATGAGGGGCATAGAGTTAATCGTGTTGTCTTTTCCCTAGGATGGAAGATATCAAGACGAGGGATCATATTTTTAAGGTGAGAGGAAAGAGATTTAAAAAAGACATGAGGGATAAATTTTTACACAGAAGGTGGTTCACATGTGGAATGAACTTCCTGAGGAAGTGGTGGATGTGGGTATAGTTATATTGTTTAAAAGATATTTGGATAAGTACATAAACAGGAAAGGTTTGGAGGGATATGGGCCGGGAACAGACAGACGAGACCAGTTTAGTTTGGGATTATATTCGGCATGGACCGGTTGGACCGATGTGTCTGTTTCCGTGCTGTATGACTCTGTAACTATGACTCGACGACTGAACTTCCTCAGCTTTTTGGAGTAAAGGATTCCAAAGATTCATCGTCCTGTGAGAGAAGGAACACCTCCTCATCTCAGTTCCTTAATGCTGAAATAATGGTACTGGGAGTTTGCAACGACCACCAGCCTGGGTTGCTACTTTCTTAGACAGCCCTGCCTGAGGTCGCTCAGTTTGCCATACAGAAAGACTTGCGTTTCTCTAGCGCCTCTCACGACCACAAGACATCACAAAGCACCTTTCATGAGTGTAGCCACCCACTGTTTTAAACTGTTTGTGATTATTTTTTGAGCCTTATTGTGGCAAGTTACAGGACATAACAGAGAGAGCCTGGGGTGGGGTGGTTTCTCTACGTTGCAAAGACGGCTATGGCAGGTACGCGGTAGGGGCTGTTTGTTTTCTATGCCTCCCCACGTCGGAATGACTGACAAATGACTGAAAGGGAGAAATCTCAATCCCGTTGGGATAACAAGGTGTAGAGCTGGATGAACACAGCAGGCTAAGCAGCATCAGAGGAGCAGGAAAGCTAACGTTTCGGGTCGAGACCCTTCTTCAGAAAAATGACAATCCCGTTGGTATGTGTCCCAACAAGCCAGTCAAGTTGCTCACTGGCCACCTCTGCTGGCAGCATTGCAGCACTGCAGCAGCACCCTTCCTATCTTTAACACTCAGTACACACGAAGTGGGTTAAAACCCTTGCCTGCCAGGACAAAGCAGTGGATCTTCACCAACAGTGGGCTGAAGGATGCTCTCTGATCCTTCCTGCCCTGGGCAACCTTTCCCGGGTTGCAAAGTGGAGCAGCAAGCCTCATTTTTCTGGTAGATTTGATGGAGCTGGAGGAGATTATGCCAGGTCTGGCTAAGGCAGATAAGGAAAACCTGTTACGCTGAGCTGATGGCACACAGGCCAGAGGATCGCAGGGTTTTAAGGTTTCGGAAAACACAGGCAAGGGGAAAAGGTGGGGAATTTGTTGTTTGCTGCCTGAGGGTAATGGGAATGAAGGAAGTTTGTTGAGCACATCAAGGAAATAGATCTGCAGAGCTACGGAGACAGAGTTGGGGAGTAGCATGAACCGGACTGCTCCTTGGGGGATCGCCATGGGTTTGAAAGGCCGAATGGCCTCCCTCTGTGCCGTAAATGACTGTAGAATCCGCGCTGTGCCCTGCTGGCAGCTCACAAATCAAAGGGGCATACAGGCTCCTGCCCCTCTCTGCACACAAATCTCCAGTTCGTCGTCTTCACACACAGGGAACCTGTTCAGGCAGTTACACCAACTCTCTGACCAAACTCTGTCTCAATCTTTCGCTTGCCCTCGTTACTCAGAGTTCCAGCTAGGGGGGATGGGGGGACACAGTCTCCCCTTGGGAGTGTGAAGGTTCTGCATTTAAGCTCCACTCCAGAGATCTCAGCACAGAAGACCAGCTGACCTGCCCCGCCCCCACCCGCCGAGTGCAGTACTGACGGAGTCAACATGGGTCAAACAAAACATCTCTCAGATGGATGTGAAACCAACAGGTGGCACGGTGGCTCAGTGGTTAGCACTGCGTCCCGGGTTTGATTCCAGCCTCTAGCAACTGTCTGTGTGGAGGTTGTACATTCTCCCACTGTCTGCGTGGGTTTCCTCCCACAAACCAAAGATGGACAGGTTAGCTGGATTGGCCATGCTAAACTGCCCAGTAGCGACCAGGGATGTGCAGGCTGGGTGGATTAGCCACAGTAATTACAAGGATAGGGTGTGGGTGGGATGCTCTGTGGTGGGTCAGTGCAGACTCAGTGGGCTGAATGACCTCTATCTGCACTGTAGGGATTCTATCAAAGGGGTGTGGACAGGTTAATTGCAAGGTGCGTACTTTCTCAAGAGGAATAGAAAATGAGACTTATTTCAATGGGGAGAGACTGCAGAATGATGTAGTGGAGAGTGTACTTGTGCGTGAGTTACAAAATGTTAGCACACAGACACGACTCAATTAGGAAGGCTAATGGAGTGTTGGCCTTTAGAGCAATGGGGTGGAATGTAAATGTAGGGAGTACTTGCTACAACAATACACAGTATTGGTGAGACTGCAGCTTGTGCACTGTGTACATGTTTGGCCTCCTTACACAAGGAGGTGAGTACCTGCCTTCAGGGCCCAAAACCTGGATCCCTGGTTATATTCTAAGGGGTCTGCTGAACTTGAGTCGGAGCCCAGGGGGCCGAGGTCATTTACCAGCTCCACAGCCCATGTCTTCTGGCCCTGTTTGAATCGGAAGCAGTTCAGAGAAGGTTTACAAGGCTGATTCCTGTGACAAAAGGAGTGTCTTTGAAGGAAAGGTTGAGCAGGTTGGGCCCATACTCCTTGAACTTAGAAGAATGAGATTCTGAAAGGGTGTGACAGAGAGGATGTTTCCTCTTCGGTGGAGGGGGGTGCGGGATGTGAATCTACAATAAAGGGGTCACAGCTTAAACATAAGAGGTCTCCCCGTTTAAGACTGAAGTGAAGGGCTTTTGTTTATTCTGCCAGGATTGAGAATTCTCTCTCCCAGAGAGTGGAGGCTGGGTCAGTGGATACACCAGGCTGGGTTAAGATAGGTTTTTACTTGATAAGGGCGTCCAGGGCTATGGGGAACAAGCAGGAATGCAGAGTTAAGGTCACAGTCAGATGACCCATGAGCTAGTTGAATTGTGGAACAGGTTAGGTGGGCAGAATGGCATATTCATTTACCCAATTCTGACAATTTTAAATTGTTGTTCACGTATTGATACAGCTGAAACCAACCTTCCATTTCTATAACTCTTCAGTGTTTCCCCACCTACTACACACAGAATAAAATGCAGCTCTCGATGGGCACACATTTCAAAAGAAATACCTTCTTCAATTTCTGTTGTTGAACTACTTGAGTCTTTTTTGGAGCGATTATTCTCCCTAACAAGGAAGGGGGAAACAAAACAAAAGTTATCCACCGAGGAAAACATAGATCAGTGTATCAGTTATGTACCATTATATAAAGAGGGGAGCGGTCAGTTAATTCAATGGCTGGTTTGCGATGCAGAGCGATACCATCAATGTGGGTTCAATCCCTTGTACCAGCTGAGGTTATAAAGAACAAAGAAAATTACAGCACTGGAACAGGCCCTTCGGCCCTCCAAGCCTGTGCCGATCCAGATCCTCTATCTAAACCTGTCGCCTATTTTCCAAGGATCTGTATCCCTCTGCTTCCTGCCCATTCTTGTTTCTGTCTAGATACATCTTAAAAGACGCTATCGTGCCTGCCTCTACCACCTCTGCTGGCAACGCGTTCCAGGCACCCACCACCCTCTGCGTAAAGAACTTTCCACGCATATCTCCCTTAAACTTTTCCCCTCACCTTGAAATCGTGATCCCTAGTAATTGAGTCCCCCACTCTAGGGAAAAAGCTTCTTGCTATCCACCCTGTCTATACCTCTCATGATTTTGTAGACCTCAATCAGGTCCCCCCTCAACCTCCGTCTTTCTAATGTAAATAATCCTAATCTACTCAACTTCTCTTCATAGCTAGCACCCTCCATACCAGGCAATATCCTGGTGAACCTCCTCTGCACACTCTCCAAAGCATCCACATCCTTTTGGTAATGTGGCGACCAGAACTGTATGCAGTATTCCAAACGTGGTCGAACCAAAGTCCTATGCAACTGTAACATGACCTGCCAATTCTTGTACTCAATACCCCGTCCAATGAATGAAAGCATGTCGTATGCCTTCTTGACCACTCTTTTGACCTGCGTTGCCACCTTCAGAGTACAATGGACCTGAACACCCAGATCTCTCTGTGCATCAATTTTCCCCAGGGCTTTTCCATTTACCGTATAGTTCGCTCTTGAATTGGATCTTCCAAAATGCATCACCTCGCATTTGCCTGGATTGAACTTCATCTGCCATTTCTCCGCCCAACTCTCCAATCTATCTATATTCTGCTGCATTCTCTGACAGTCCCCTTCACTATCTGCTACTCCACCAATCTTAGTGTCATCTGCAAACTTGCTAATCAGACCATCTATACCTTCCTCCAGATCATTTATGTATATCACAAACAACAGTGGTCCCAACACGGATCGCTGTGGAACACCACTGGTCACAGTTCTCCATTTTGAGAAACTTCCTTCCACTACAACTCTCTGTCTCCTGTTGCCCAACCAGTTCTCTATCCATCTAGCTAGTACACCCTGGACCCCATGCAACTTCACTTTCTCCATCAGCCTACCATGGGGAACCTTATCAAACGCCTTACTGAAGTCCATGTATATGACATCTACAGCCCTTCCCTCTTCTATCAACTTTGTCACTTCCTCAAAGGATTCTCTCAAGTTGGTGAGACATGACCTTCCCTGCACAAAACCATGCCCATTTTCTTCCAAATGTAAAGAGATCCTATGACTCAGTATCTTCTCCAGCAGCTTCCCCACCACTGACGTGAGGCTCACCGGTCTATAATTACCTGGATTATCCTTGCTACCCTTCTTAAACAAGGGGACAACATTAGCAATTCTCCAGTCCTCTGGGACCTCACCCGTGCTCAAGGATGCTGCAAAGATATCTGTTAAGGCCCCAGCTATTTCCTCTCTCGCTTCCCTCAGTAACCTGGGATAGATTCCATCTGGACCTGGGGACTTGTGCACCTTAATGCCTTTTAGAATACCCAACACTTCCCCCCTCCTTATGCCAACTTGACCTAGAGTAATCAAACACCTATCCCTAACCTCAACATCCGTCATGTCCCTCTCCTCGGCAAATACTGACGCAAAGTACTCACTAAGAATCTCACTCATTTTCTCTGACTCCTCGCATAACTTCCCTCCTTTGTCCTGGAGTGGGCCAACCCTTTCTCTAGTTACCCTCTTGCTCCTTATGTACGAATAAAAGGCTTTGGGATTTTCCTTAACCCTGTTTGCTGAAGATATTTCATGACCTCTTTTAGCCCTCTTAATTCCTTGTTTCAGATTGGTCCTACTTTCCCGATATTCTTCCAAAGCTTCGTCTGTTTTCCTAGACCTAGACCTTATGTATGCTTCCTTTTTCCTCTTTGCTAGTCTCACAATTTCACCTATCATCCATGGTTCCCTAATCCTGCCCTTTCTATCCCTCATTTTCACAGGGACATGTCTGTCCTGCACTCTAATCAACCTCTCTTTAAAAGCCTCCCACATATTAAATGTGGATTTACCCTCAAATAGCTGCTCCCAATCCACATTCCCCAGCTCCTGCCGAATTTTGCTACAGTTGGCCTTCCCCCAGTTTCGCACTCTTCCTTTAGGACCACTCTCGTCTTTGTCCATGAGTATTCTAAAACTTACGGAATTGTGATCACTATTCCCAAAGTAATCCCCTACTGAAACTTCAACCACCTGGCCGGGCTCATTCCCCAACACCAGGTCCAGTATGGCCCCGTCCCGAGTTGGACTATTTACATACTGCTCTATAAAACGCTCCTGGATGCTCCTTACAAATTTTGCTCCATCTAAACCCCTAACACAAAGTGAATCCCAGTCAATGTTGGGAAAATTAAAATCTCCCATCACTACCACCCTGTTGCTCCTACATCTTTCCATAATCTGTCTACATATTTGTACCTCGATCACACGCTCGCTGTTGGGAGGCCTGTAGTACAGCCCCAACATTGTTACCGCACCCTTCCTATTTCTGAGCTGTGCCCATATTACCTCACTGCTCGAGTCCTCCATAGTGCCCTCCTTCAGCACAGCTGTGATATGCTCTTTGACCAGTAATGCAACTCCTCCACCCCTTTTACCTCCCTCTCTATCCCGCCTGAAGCATCTATATCCTGGGATATTTAGTTGCCAATCTTACCCTTCCCTCAACCAAGTCTCAGTTATGGCAATAACATCATACTCCAAGGTACTAATCCAAGCCCTAAGTTCATCTGCCTTACCTACTACACTTCTCACATTAAAACAAATGCACCTCAGACCACCTGTCCCTTTGCGTTCATCATCTGCTCTCTGCCTACTCTTCCCCTTAGTCACACTGACTTCATTATCTAGTTCCTTACAGGCTTTAGTTACTACCTCCTTACTGTCCACTAACCTCCTCATTTGGTTCCCATCCCCCTGCCACATTAGTTTAACCCCTCCCCAACAGCGTTAGCAAAAGCACCCCGTAGGACATTGGTTCCAGTGCTGCCCAGGTGTAGACCGTCCGATTTGTAATAGTCCCACCTCCCCCAGAACCGGTCCCAATATCCCAAAAATCTGAACCCCTCCCTCCTGCACCATCCCTCAAGCCACTCATTTATCCTGCCTATTCTTTCATTTCTACTCTGATCATGAAGAACTCGCCTTCTCAACCTGTCCCGTCACGTTAAACCGACATTGGTCGTCCCTCATCCGTAATGAGAGAGCAGGGCTATGGTCCAGGAGGTGTCACCGGACTTGAAACATTTAATCCTGTTCCTCTCTCCACAGTCCTGCTGAGTTTCTGCAGCAATTTCTGTTTTAGCTTATTTCAGATTTACAAAAGCCACTGATCTTTGTTTTGTAATACGACCCTGGAAGATGATTGGCAAATTTAACTTTACAATATTCAGGCTAACAATGACACTGGATTTTCCTCAGACAGTACCTTCCAAACCCACGTCCCCTTCCGTCTGGAAGCACAAGGGATGCAGGTACAGGGGAACACCACAATCTGCATATTCCCCGCCCATCACCCAGCCACGCCCCTCACGCCGGGCGCCAGCTCAGGCCCCGCCCACCATCCAACCCCCGCCCCTCGCAACAGGCCCCGCCCACCATGCAGTCCCGCCCTTCACATCGGACTCCAGATCGGGCACCGCCCATCACGTACGGGAACCCGCCACTAACCCAGGCCCCGCCCACTTAACACAAGACCCCAAACCCCAGGCCCCGCCCACCACACGGGGAGAGACACCCCAATCCCGCCCACTTCACGCCCCCACTTTTGGCCCGCCCCCGACCGCTAAACACAAGGCCACGCCCACTCCCCTGGCCCCGCCGTCGTCCCCTGCACCGACCCCCGGGAATCCCCGCGGCTCCCCACACGTCCCAAGTGCCAGAGCAAATCCTCACTGCCCACCCGCGGGAGTACCGGGACACGGGGCTAGTGCAGACTCCGTCTCCCTCCCCGTCCCGCCGACACTTCGCTCAGCATCAGCCTCACCTCCTTTCCGAGGCCGCGCGACTCCGCCTCGCTTGCTCTTCGGCTTCTTTCCCGCCGGGGCCCGCGCCGCCAGTTTCAACCGACCCTGCGCCATGGCGACCAGTTAGAGCGGCATTGTGGGATAGTGAGGGGCGATGGAGAGAAGCATTGTGGGATAGTGAGGGCCGATGGAGAGAGGCATTGTGGAGTAGTGAGGGCGCCACTGCGTGGGGTATTGCGGGATAGTGAGGGGCAAAGGAGAGAGGCATTGTGGGATAACAAGGTGTACAGCTGGATGAACACGGCAGGCCAAGCACCATCATTTTTTCTGAAGAAGGGTCTAGGCTCGAAACGTCAGCTTTCCTGCTCCTCTGATGCTGCCTGGCCTGCTGTGTTCATCCAGCTCTACACCTTGTTATCTCAGATTCTCCAGCATCTGCAATTCCTACTATCTCAGGCATTGTGGGATAGTGAGTGCAATGGAGAGGGGCATTGTGGGATAGTGAGGAGCGATGGTGAGGGCTGTTTTCGGATAGTGAGACGCAATGGAGAGGGGCATTGTGGGATAGTGAGGGGCGATGGAGAGGGGCATTGTGGCAGATTG